TCATCCTGCTACTGTTGTTCATGCTGAGTAATACCTTATTCTACAAGTCCCACTAAAATCAGTACCTACTGTCTACTACGTTTACGTAAGTACCTACCACAGCGCGACCCCGGTCTCTCAGCTGGAGTTTCTGGGAGCTGCTGAAGTACAAAATCAAAGATTGGCTTGAGCCAGCCCTGGCCACAAGACTTTTTGCTGAGCACTGCAGAGAGAGGCAATGTCCCTTGTGAGATTTACTAACCAATTCTGACCACTTGGTGCCAATGTTGTTCCCATTTTTCTTGTGCCCGAGCCACGTCCGTTCATTGGCTTCAGACAAACTTTTTTCCTTTGGCCTTCACCGCAGTGGAAACCTGCAGCCTTTGATTTGGTAATGATTAGCTTCTATTTAGTAGCTGTCTAAGGACAGTTGATGCCTGGAAGCAAAACAGCCCCTTGCTAGCACGGGGAGAAGAAAGTTTGTGTGTTTAAATAAATAAGCTAGTTATAAATCTCTCATCTGAATGAGCCTTAACTGTTACCAACCCAGTGGAAAAAACTCGCTAGGCAGGTTGCACTGATCCTGTCTTCGTGAAGCTAGTTCAGTTCCCACCCGGCGATTGGCACCATTGGCAACCTCAGAAGCTTTAAAGATTTCAGTTCTTTCTCAGCACTCAAGGCAGGTCCAGCAAGGTCAGCCCTGATGCTCATGGCGTGAGCTTTGACCCCAGCTCTCAGGGATCTATCGCGCTCCAATCACCATAGTATAGATGTACCTGTTCTCTTCAGATCCTGCTAATAGATTTTAGTCCCCACAGCTGGCAGTAGATTACATCTCACAAATAGATGACCCTTTCGTGTAAGGGGAGTAGAGCACTTTGGTACATCTTAAAGATGGTCCATCTATATGGATGCTGTATGTGTGTGAATAAAATCTCTCGCCGAGGGGGGTTTCGGTTCTCATTATCTTGCTTTCTTTGATTCAGGGATATAGAAATAGCTGTGGCGCTGCCTGGTCGTTAGGAAATGCATATTCATACCTAGAGGCAAGGAGCATGAAGGTCCCCTCACTGGGAGGTGCACTCTGTGTACAGGGTTCTAGAATGAGAGGACCAGGTTCACAGCAATCTACCCCAGCTGAAGGTCTGGAGAGATTTTTATCAGTGCTCCTGCTCCACTTGAATGTCTAGTGGTTAAATAAATGTAGGAGGCCAAGGGTCAGTTGTTGTGTAATGTGGGGTTACTTACTTGTGACCAAGGACTTTTAACCTCCGTATTTCCTGAAGAAACTAATTACTGTGTTGTCCAGATGAGAAAGGAGTCAAATGGAGTAACTTACACCCTGGGGGGCTGGAAGAGAGGGATACAGCAGGAAAAGCAACTTAAGAGGGTGTAGGAAGGACCGTTTTTAAAGTAGGACCACACACTTTATCTTCTGTCCCCTTGCAGTGGGTGTTCTATCATGTACTGCATCCTTCCTTTGGGCTGGCACTTCGCAACAAACTTGGGTGTAACTGACATCAAAGGCCTGATCTATACATAGTTTTTATACCAATGTAACGCTTTTCAGGTAGGGGGAGATTTTAATATGAATTATAATTAAAGCAGTACAAATGCCTCTAGTGTGGGGACAGTTATACCTGTATAAAGGTGCTTCTCCTGAGATAGCTTATTCCTATACGTTTAGGGGAATAAGCTGTACAAGTCTACAACAACTTTATACAGCTATAACCATGTCCACACTAGATGGTAGCACTGTTTTAATGGCATCAGTTTCTAAACCAATATAGACCTAGTAGCACAAAAATGGTAGGTAGACAAGCTACAAGATTTTTGGAGGGCGGTTATCTCGAGATGAATCAGGTACATGAGTATACAAATGGGTAATTTTTGTGTAAGCGTCCGGAAAGGCTGCGGAACTCCTAGCAGCTGACTATGAATGAATTGGCTATCAGAAGTCCCCTTGTGCCACCTTCACATGACTAGCACCACGGCTAGCGGGAGTTCCTCTTAGTTTGGAGATTTTCTTTTGCTACTAATGCTCATTCTTTCTTTGAACATCCTTATGGGGACTGTAACTGGCATTAGGGGATCAGAACTAGACCTTCAGAAAACAGAAATTTGTTGGCTTCCTCATGCAACTGTCATACGTTCTCCTCTATCTTATAGTAACTGCACGCACATAGAGGATGCTGCCTTTGCCGCCTCTTTGCCCTGCTGTTCAGGACCCACAGAGAGCCAGACTATCGGCTTTCTCAGTCTTTTGTACCTCTGGATTCCACCAAGGACCAAAAGTAGAAAATCCAACATACTCTGAGATGTTGTGCACATGGTTCTTTGCAGCAGAAATAGCTCAAAACCTTGTGACAGAACCTGTTCTCCTAAGGTATCCCAGCCGGGGTGGCAGACACAAGAGGGCTAGTAAGAAGCCACACATGGGAGACTTACCCCAAATAAATCTTCAACGTTAAGAGATTCACCCCAAAGGCCTTGACTAAATAGTGTATAGTATGTCATCTGGCATTCACCCAATAGGTCTTGATTCAATGCCCATTCAGGTCAGTGGAAAAGACTCCCATTGATTTCAATCTGCATTAGATCAGGCCCTTAGCTCTGAAACAGCTAGGAAGGTGGCAGGAGGCCAGTGGTATCAGGTTTGGTGCATCTCCATTTGGGATATTGATTACCTCTTTCTGCTCTCCCTCCTGCAGACAGTTACTTGTGTTGACTCCTGAACCATCCTGGCCTACACTCCTGTATGGGAGTTTATTATAAGTGTGTATTACACCTGATTAGTCATTTTCTGTTTAAAACAACTGGTGACCAGGCCACCCTTATTTCCAAGACTTTTGTTAGGAGCTGTGCCAAAGGAACATTCGTGTTCATCAACTCAGGTTTCTATAGCCAAGAGTGTGGCTAAGGAACTGGATTGAGATTCTTGACTCTGCCACAGACCAGCTTTGTGACCTTTGGGAAGTCATTTAATCTCACCATTTGTAAAATGGGTGGTAATGCTGTCCCTCCCAAGGGTCCTGAGGATAAATATGTTTGTGTGGGGCTCATGTACTGTGTCAATGAAGGCCATATGAGTATCTGGATTATTTGTATCACTATGTATGGGATCTCAAGAGTTAAGAGGGGGATTTCAGTGTCTGTGGTCCATGCAGTCATTGGCGCCTTTGCTGAGAGATTTAACAGAGGACTGTTGGAGGTGGTTTATCTTTGACGTGGACATTCATCCATTAGAGACAGAGAGCACTCCTTCTCCTGGTTCCTCCGAACCCCTTTTTTCTTTGGTCACCAAAAGCCTTCCAGTGTTCACTTAATGACTTTCAGTCCTATTCTGATGCAATAAAACACTTACAGGGTGAAGACCATTTTTTACTTGGTTTCTAATGGCAGTCCAGGGAAGAGAACATGTTGCATTTAATCTAACTTGGTAACTGTCATGGAGAGGGTTAGATCATACAGATGTTTCAACTTCAATGATTTAAACTGTGTACACAGAGCAGATTTAGATTTGCAGAACACCTGCCTGTTGCACTAAGTGCTATTTTATGCATTACAAGTACAAAAATGAAGATAATCCCCCAACTGTAATACTGATAGCCCAACCCAGGTATCTCAAAAACCAATCACCCACAAGGAGTTTGTACAGCGCAAGGGGGTCCTGGTCCATGACTAACGCTCTTGGGTGGTGCAAGAATACAAATAATAAAGGAGAAGCCAATAATAATTGATAACCATCCACCTACCCCCTTATCAACAGCCCAAGGAGAAATGACTGGTCTTGGAGCATGACCTGAAGGTTCATAAATCCTGTCTCTGGCAGAGCTAGGCCAGGGAGCCTGCTACAGAGACAAGGCCCCTTTATGGCAAATGCCCTGCCAGCAGCTTCTTTGAGAGCTCAAGCGCTCCAGTACCAGGTAGTGCTGTGTGGTGAGAGATACTAGGATGTTCTGTTTTTCTGCAGAGACTGTCACTCAAACCACAGCTTCTTGGTTGTCTTTCTCCAGCCCAATCTGTTGGCTCCTGGAAGAGGCTTCATAACTGTACTAACTCACTCCAATTTCAGGTATTCCAGCGTCTGCTCTTCCCCACAAGCACACTGGATAGAAGGGCTGGTGTCAGAATTCTGTCTTACCCAATAGTGTACTAAGGAAACTTATTTGGGACAGAAGGGGTTAATTACACTTGGGTGGGATTCTCTCTTCCTTTTCCCCCCAAAAATGCTGTGGGACTCACTCATCCACACAGTACCTGGTGAGTTCTCCAGGTCTTGTCCTGTATCCCACCCCCCTGTGTCTCTCCATATTCAAGCTGAACTTTGCACATGGCGAAGACAGCTGCAATATCCCATAGATCTGAAAGGAGACAGGGAGGAGATGGAGAAAGAACTTGCTACACCATCAGCTGCCTCTTGTCAGCCTCAGCTGGTGCCTGGCGTGTGTGGATATAGATATAGATATATAAATAAAATATACATTTAAAAAAAAACTAAATGCCAGCTTCAGTGGAGGTCTCATTATTTTACCAAAAGTGGTTTGCAACTAATTGCATCTCTTTATCTTTTATGAAACAAGAAGTTGTAGACTTCAGAGCCAGAGCTTTGGAAAGAAGGAATTAACAGGCAGCTGTTGTTTGTGTTACAGTTGGGGAGATTTGTCTACAAGCCCTAAGATTGTGGCCCAAGTGTGCCAGGTGCTGCATATACACGTAGTAAGAGATGGTCCCTGCCCTGAAAAGCTTATGATCCAAATAGAGGAACAGGAAGTAATGTTATCCTCATTTTAAAGATTGGAAACTGAGGCACAGGGAGATTAACTGGCTTGTTGAAGTTTGTGGCAGAGCTCGGAATAGAGACAGTTCTTCTGAGTCCAAGGTCTGTGCATAAACTGTCCTTCCTCTTGCTAGTTCCCATGGTTAGTTCATGTATCTCCCTTACTGTGGTGGAGTTCAGTCACAGATCAGACCAAACCCTTTTAACCTGTGGCATTTCTCTTCTACTTTCCCTCTCTTAGTTGGTGACAAGGTGCCAGCCGATATCCGGATCATCGAGATCAGATCCACGACGTTACGGGTTGATCAGTCGATTCTCACAGGTACGGGCAGTGGTGGGGGGTTGTGCTGTTACTCTGAGCATGGCGGTCTTGCACCGAACGACTGCTACTGGAACGAGTCCTGGGTGGGGGTCGAGGTGGGTTGTGTTGGGCTTGGTGCTCTAAGAACCTTCACACCCACAGTGAAATTTGTATCAAATGTTCTGTGTTCTGAAAAATCTAGGTTCTCCTCTTAACGTTTTCATTTTCACACCTGTCTGGTGAATCTGTGGTGGCCAGCTTCTCTCTAACACTTTCCAAAGGGGTCACCCAACTAATCCAGATACTTGGCAAACCAATCTGTACCATGTCCCTGTGAGGCTGATTGGTTAGCACTATTATCAGCCCTTTTTACAGATCGAACAATTTAAGACCAGGGATTAAGGGTGGGGTTTTCAAATGCGTTCAGCATTGGCCTGACTGCTCCACTGAAGTGAGTGAGCATATTCAGTGGGAGCAGAGTTGGGGTGAGATTTTCAAAATTGCTTGGTTTAGGACTACGTGACTTGCCCAGAAAGGGAATCAGTGGCAGAGTTGGGATTAGAATTCAGGAGATTCTGGCTCCATGTCTCATGTTCAGACCACTGGACCACAGCTAAGTCTTGGCAGGAAGTGCCCAAAATCTTGAATGTGTGTGAGATTTTGTTAAGAATCAAGCCTCCAATTAATGATGGCTACACATTTTACTGCAGAACAGGGTATGTGGCTGTCTTACACAGGTACTGAACTGTGGCTTGAAAGCAAATGTTGCTTGATTCATGTCTATCTTGTTGTGTAGCAATTAAAGAGTTAATCATTTCAGATGTGTGATATTTGCTAGAATTGGATGTTGTCATTGAGGGGAGGGGAATTTTTTTTTAAATATGAATTAAAGAAGTGTTTGAAATATTACATATTAGCTTTAAACATTATATCACTGCTATCACGGGGAAATGGTAAGTATCCTTTCTTTTCTATTTAGATCAAGGGTTCTCAAACTGGGGGTCGGGAGCCCTCAGGGGGTGGCGAGTTTATTACATGGGGAGGTCACGGGCTGTCACCCTCCACTACAAACCCCGCTTTGCCTCCAGCATTTATAATGGTGTTAAATATATTTTTAAAATGTTTTTAGTGTATAAGGGGGGTCGCACTCAGAGGCTTGCTGTGTGAAAGGGGTCACCAGTACAAAAGTCTGAGAACCCCTGATTTAGATGAACCATTAGTCTAAACTCCAAATCTCCTTTTGACATGATTTTAAAAATTCATGAGCTTGGGATACGGCAAAAGGGAAGGGAAAACAATTGCAGAAATTAAATCTACAGGGACACCAGCACAGTCTCCCCGAGACGTGGTTTTGTGCTAATTGAACTTTCTCCTGCAAGGTGACAGGAGATGCAGCGAAGGAACAAAATTATTTTTGTGCTCAGAGCGCAAAATAAAGACCTTCAGGAGAAGCCCTCTTGATACTTTCATTACGTTCCACAAGGTAGTCCATCTCCTCTTGAGGCCGTTGATTAGCTTTTGTGGCTTTGAGTTGTCCTTGAATAAGTGGAACTGCTGCCTCTGATTTTAATTCTTGTGCCCTGAGGAGAGGGGCTTTTCTTCAAATCTTGGAACTGGCTGTTGTAAGCTTCCCGGAGCAGGGAACCATCTTTTGTCTAAGTTTGTACAGTGCCTAGCACAATGGGGTCCTGGGTCGTGACTAGGGTTTCTAAGCACTACTGCAATGCAAATAATTACTAATCGTAATGTAGCCAGTCTCCATGCCAATGCAGGACTGTTCCTTACAAGATGCAGAAGAAGGTTTTTGGACTAAAGAGGGTTTAATTTTAGAAGCCTTTGTTTGTTTTTTCAGGATATCGTCAACATACAAAGCAGTTAGTATAATCTTCGCTGTCCCCCTTATGAGTAACGTTTTCCTGCTGTCGCGAAGCTCCCCGCCATTTAGGATTCGTTTTGGAGCCCTTTAGACCCATCCCAACGAAGCCCGTGCACAAAATACGAATCCCGGTTCCGTTTGACTCTCTCCTCACACAATTCATGCCAAGAAGCAACTTGGCTGAGATTCCCCAGCACTACGCTTGGGCTCTGGTGACCGTTTCTCTGTAGAAGTCTTCACTGGGTAGTTGGTGGCAGTTAAAACCTGTCTGGAACCCAGAAAAACTTTTCTCTGTGTCTGTACCTTGACTAGCCCAGTGGGGCCGGGGCCTCCAGATCCAACTACAATACAAACCACAGTAATTCAGACAGCAGTGTTATCGTCTCTGGAGTATGAGGAGGGCAGCAATTGGTGGGTGAGACCAGGGACTTGAATTTGCCAACTTGTATCAGGCCGTCCAGATGCCTAAATATGGAGTTAGGTGCCAAACTGTACATTTTCCGGCTCAAAATGTTGGCCTAACCCTGTTAGGGTATGCTGTTAGCTAAGCGGCTTTTTGGCTCTGGTAATTTTCACTTGAGTTTAAACTAGTTATTTTCCTATAACTCTTCTCTCCATAGTGAACAGATGAATGGGCCAGCTGTAACATCTCATTGATGAATGTCCAAACAAAATGACCTAGTGCCAAAGATCTATTTTCAAGGCTATGTATTGTCACCAACAGAAGCTTCCAATCCACCCTAATAGAGGCCTTTGCTGGAACTGGATCTGTGTTGAGAATCTCAGTAGGAAACCCTGTAAATGTTTTTTCTCCCTCCTTTTGTCTCTACAGGTGAATCTGTGTCTGTGATTAAACACACTGACCCGATCCCTGACCCCAGGGCTGTCAATCAGGACAAGAAGAACATGCTTTTCTCTGTAAGTTTTTTCATATCCGTCGCCACCTCTCTTGGCTCTTGTAGAAACAGCCACAGGGTAAAAACCTCATAGGCAGGTATCAAAGTGTATAAGTTTTTGAGCAGTACATTGTAATAAAGGATAATTACTGTTCACTGAAGGACACAATTTAAGGTGCTATTGTTAAAGTCAATGGGAACAGAGTTAGGCCAATGCTGAATGCTTTTAAAATATCCCACCCTTAACAGTCTACATATTGTCAAAAGTTGGCCAGTCATCTACTCACTGGACAGGGACATCTGAGTCTTGGTTGTGCTGCAATGTAAAGTCCTTACAAAGGAATAACTGGATGACATAACAGCATTACAACCCATGCGACTAGTGAAAGGATATTCCACAAAAGCTTATTCACTGGGGCAGTTCTCACTTTTGTTTGTGGCAGAGATTTTCAAAGAGAGCAGCCTAAGGGAGTTTGGTGCCCACTGAGTTTTGGCATCTAACTCCCTTATACTTAGGGCCCTACCAAATTCACAGCCATGAAAAACGCGTCACGGACTGTGAAGTCTGATCTCTCTCCATGAAATCTGGTCTTTTGTGTGCTTTTACCCTATGCTATACAGATTTCACGGGGGAGACCAGTATTTCTCAAACTGGGGGTCCTGACCCAAAAGGGGGTTGCAAGGTTATTTAGGGAGTATTGCCACCCTTACTTCTGCGCTGCTTTCAGAGCTGGGCGGCCGGAGAGCGGCAGCTGTTGGCTGGGCGCCTAGCTAGAGGTGGGTGGCCGGAGAGTGGCAGCTGCTGACCAAGGTTCAAGCTCTGAAGACAGCAGAACGGAAGTAAGGGTGGTAATACCATACTATGTCATCCTTACTTCTGCACTGCTGCTGACAGCGACTCTGCCTTCAGAGCTGGGCTCCTGGCCAGCAGCTACCATTCTCCAGCCACCCTGCTCTGAAGGCATCGCCAGCAGCAGCGCAGAAGTAAGGGTAGCAGTACTGTATCTCCCCTCCCCCCCCCTACAATAACCTGGTGACCCCCCGACAACTCCCTTTTGAGTTAGGACCCGTACAATTACAACACTGTGAAATTTCAGATTTAAATAGATGACATCATGAAATTTATGATTTTTAAAATTCTATGACCGTGAAATTGACCTAACTGGACCGTGAATTTGGTAGGGCCCTACTTATACTCCTTTAAAATCTCAGCCTTTGTGTTTATGGTTTTCTTCTGAAATCATGGACTAGAGGTGTAGCAGGCATTCATGATTAAACATGCAGAACTTGAAACTTGTGAGGTGCAAAGAACTCTCAAACAGCAAAACTAGAGATGGACTCAGGTTGCAAAATTTGTATCTGGAATTTGAATGCTCCAAAATTCAAAGGCATTTGCAACATGGAGTTTTGCTTCATCTTATAAAGATTAGGGGTTATTTAAAACAATTTAACATTTTGCCAGTTTTGGAGGAGTTTATATATGAGGTTTTGTTACCGACTTTTGAACCTGAAGCAGGAAGCAAGTAGCTCATTGTGTAGGGAGAGAATGTAGCCTGCCAATTAGAGTACAGGATTAGGCGTCAGGACTCCTGGGTTCTTTCCTGAAACCTGTCACTGACTCAAGGTCCAATTTCTCTTACCCTTTCTGAACAAAACTGGTCAAAGTAATTTGTGGAGCAAGACTGTTATACCTTAAAATCCATTAGAGAGGGGTGTGGGGAGGGAAAGGGGGCAGTCCTTTCATTTAGCAGTTTCTACTGGACCAAGCATCTTCAACTTTTCTATGCTCCTTAGGAATAAAGGGTATGCATTGCATCTGGAGATGCTTCTAACTCAAAAAAAGCCCCAAACCACACAAATCTTGAAGACCACAGAAGACTCAGTAGCTACTCATAGGTCTGGAGAAACCCCTGTTTAGGTTTGGTGGGATATCACCAAAAGTAGAAAGGCCTGTCAAGGGGTCACAGGAAACAGGAATTATTGGGTTCAGGCTGGAGAGAAATTGAACAGTAACTCAGTGACAGGTCTCAGGAAAGAACCCAGGAGTCCTGACTCCAAATCCTGTACTCTAATTGGCAAGCCATCTGCTCTCCCTACGCAGTGAGCTACCCATTTGCTGCTTTAAGCTCAAAGATCTAATATTTGTATATTCTGTACATACAAATGACTTCTTTTCCAGGGTACCAATATTGCGGCTGGTAAGGCTGTTGGCGTCGTCATTGCTACCGGGGTATACACAGAAATTGGGAAGATCAGGAATCAGATGGTTGCAACTGAGCCAGAGAAGACCCCATTGCAACAAAAGCTGGATGAGTTCAGCCAGCAACTCTCCAAGGTCATTTCTGTGGTCTGCATAGCTGTCTGGGTCATCAATATCAGCCACTTCAGTGACCCGGTCCACGGTGGCTCTTGGTTTCGTGGGGCTATCTACTATTTCAAGATTGCGGTGGCCTTGGCAGTAGCTGCCATCCCTGAGGGTCTCCCTGCTGTCATCACCACTTGTCTGGCGTTGGGCACGCGCCGTATGGCCAAGAAGAATGCTATTGTGAGGAGCCTTCCTTCAGTGGAAACGCTGGGCTGCACCTCTGTCATCTGCTCTGACAAGACCGGCACCCTCACCACCAACCAGATGTCTGTCTGCAGGGTGAGTTCTTGAGCTATGCAAATGTGTAAACACCATGTTGCTTTCCCATAAGGTGTGCAGGGTCTTGAGGCTAATGCACGGGGTTGGGAGATCTGAGTTTTATCCCAAGGCTGCAGAGCTAGGAATAAGTCACTTTCCTGCTGTGCCTCAGTTTACCCATCAGTGTAGTAGGGATAACAACATTTACCTTCCCCACAGACATATTGCAAGGCTAAAACATTGTCTCTTCTGGCAGAAACTTTGCTAATTTGAAGGAGAGCATGAAAAAGCTTTGCATTATTGCAAACCTGTATAAACATGACCTTCCTTTCCTCCCTATTGGTGGTGAAAATCAGTTTATTATTATTTTTGCATGGCTCTAGGCTGCAGTTATATAGCTCGCTCTTGCTCCTTGCGAACAAATGAGACACCTGTTTAAAGGTGTGGCTTTTCAGAGGTTATTTTAAGGACTCTTCTATCTTGGTGCTTTCCTCTGTGGTGGGGATCTGCTTGAAATGAGAGCTCCTGGAAGCGTATGTATTTAGTCTGTTCTCTCCCATGCTTGTTTAACCAAGCTGGTAAGAGATGAGAAACTTAAAAGCTGAACTTCTATCAGAAGTCAAAACTGGGATCAGTTTAACTCCCTGGTTTTAATACATAAGAAGGGATCACCCTGAGAAATCCAGGGGTCAAGATAAGATTAATGCAACCTGGTTAATCCATGCTTTTTTTTTTTTTAAATCCATGTTTTGTTGTTGGAAAGTTTTGGTCAGCAATCCCATACAGCTGAGTTTGGAATCTAAATATACTATAAACACATATTATTGGGTAAATGCCAGGGGCACCACGGCTGAGGAATGCATCAATTTTATCTGCTATAAAAGAGTGTTATTTTCTGGGGAGCATCTTCCATTCCCCTGCCCTGTGGGGCTTGGCTATATTTGGATTGACAAGAATAGAATAGGACGGGAAAGATGGGATAATCCAAGCACTCCTCAGTTTCCCTATTAATCCTCATGACTAAGAAAAGATTTTTCTTGGTACTGGCACTCAGATTTTATAGGAAAACCTTGGAAAACAACATTTCACCAGAGGGGAAAAATAAACTTGCCCAGCATCTCTCCCCCGAACCTCCCAGCGTTTATACTTTGTTAGAACAGTCCAAAGTAGACAACATGTGTAGCATGGCCATGTACGCTGGGAGCACTGACTGGTTAACTAGACATTATTAATACTGGGAAAGTCTGAGATTTCTGCTCTATATATTATTTAAAATGAGACCGCACTGGAGCCATTTTAAAAAAAACGTGTCATTTCCATGTCTTGCTTAGAAAGGATGGACGGACGGACACACACAATATCTTCCTATTATCCCTTCTGCAAAGCAGATATGTTGGAAGACCAGTGATTCTTCCCATTCCCTTCTACAGGCAGCCAGCTAAAGTAACATTTGTGTGACATTCTGCCTCAGGAGTACGTCTGGCAGGCTGTTCCTGTTCTGTAGCGGTTCTTCTAGTTTCCTTAGTGATATGGCAGAGTAAGTGGCCCATGTTCATCTGCATAATGAATGCGTGGGAGTCTAAAGGCATTAAATGCCAAGTTGATGGTTCTGCGGACAGATATGGAAGCATCTCTTGCTGATCAACCTGCTAACATATAGAGCAGGCGAGACTTTTATCTTTCCAAGAACCTGTTCACACAAGGACAGCATTAAGGTTGCTTTCTCAGCTGGCTTCTTTACCAGGCAGACCACTGATTTCTTTAAGTCTTTCCCTTTTTATTTTCGGACTCCCAAGATGAGCTGTGCAAATTGCAGTTCATTAAGGCTGCAGGGTTGCAAGCAGACTCCTTCATCTGGTTTTCGTCCATGTGCACGCAAACATCCTGTGTTTGGACAAACCACAAATTCAAAGCCACTCTCCACCAAAGCCACTCAGGTGTGTTTCTGGCTCTGGGTAAGAAGGCGCCTGATTCATTACATTCAAGTGTGTTCAGATCCGGGATATCGATGCAAGCCCATCTCTGAATCAGCGCCATGGGGACTTCTCTTGGCTTCCACCTAAAATCATAATTTGGTTCAGATGATGATTGATATAGTGCAGGGGTGGCCAAGCTTACTGACCCTCCGAGCCACATAAGATAATCTTCAGAAGTTCAAGAGCTGCAAAACATGCATACCCTGCCGCGCAGGGTGGTGCCTACCCAGGCGCGGGGCTTCTGCCCAGAAGCCCCTAGCTCCACCACCCCACCGCAGGGCAGAAGCCTGAGCTCCCCCCACCTCCAGTCTGGTAGCTGCACGTTAACTATAAAAGAGCCCATGTGGCTCATGAGCCGTGGTTTGGCCACCCCTGGTATAGTGGTAGCACCTAAAAACTTCATCCAGGTTTGGTCCCCAGTGTGCTAGGTACTGTACAAACATATATAGTAAATGTCAGTCATCTGTTCCTACTGAAGTCAATGCAAGAGTCCCATTGATTTTAATTTTACAGGATCAAACCATAAAAAGCAAGACAGAACAGGGGTGTGAAACAAACAAGCCAAAGTGTGTGTGCGTGTGCACGGGGGGGGACAACGATGACACAGAGCAGCAATAACAACAATATTTAATATCTGCAATAATCACAGCTCTCTCAAAAAGAACAGGAGTACTTGTGGCACCTTAGAGACTAACAAGACTAAGGTGCCACAAGTACTCCTGTTCTTCTTGCGGATACAGACTAACACGGCTGCTACTCTGAAAGCTCTCTCAAAACTCAGCCCAAACTCTCAGCAAACCTAGCTTGAGTTTATAACGTAAAATCAGTTGCCATATTAATTCACTCCTTTTTCAGTATCCATTTAATCAGTCAGCAGAAGTGGGGATCTCTTGGATAACATTATTCCAGGCCCAGTCAGCTTGAGGAGAGACAGAAATTTTGTGTTAATGTTTAACCTTCGGGAGTTCCCTGGTTAAATAAGGTGACTGCTTAATGGAAGGAATATGGATATTGTTCACAGATTTGCAGACTGTTAAAAAGGCAAATATTTACGCTGGGTGGTCATGACTGCTATTGAGCACTTACTTATCTTGTAGGTGTTCACTTCATTAAACAGACCGGCTCTGTCTTGAGAGGGAACTGTATAAAGCCTGTCAATATCCTGGACAAAGGTTAGGCATTCATTTGAGGTTAGCTGGGGCATGCAGCCTTTTATTAGGAAGATTTGGGGACCTGGTGTCTTCTGTAATGGTCCAAAGAAAGCTGTTGTCCAAAGGACTCTTTCAGACCTGTTTCAAGAGGTTTTACACATGAGAGAGCTCCTTTGCTAACAGAGACCTATGGCAAGAAACTGCATCCCTGTTTGCAACTCCTTCCAAGTCTGAAGGCTCTCTGCTTTTTCCCATCTCCCCCAGTTTTGCTTAACTCCTTCACTTGGGGCTGGATGGGGAAAAACTTTTGATTTGTTGTTTGGATCCCCCCCTCCCCCCGCCCCTTTTACAGCTTTCAAATTCAAAAAGTCTGAAATCCAACCAGCACTCTCTGGGCAAAAATGGAGAAAAGATTTGTCTTAACATTTTTGTTTAAAAATTCAGATTTTGGCAAAACCTTAAAACAAACGAACAAACCAATGATAATATTCAACGCTTCTGTCATGTAACTCCCTGACTTTTCTTCCCCGTCGTGTTACTGCACAAATGATTTATTTGCCCACCTTCTGAACACCTTCCTGGTAGAAACCTTTCCTGGATTCTCCATGAAATACAGCTGACCAAACTTTGCAAATTTTCTCCGGTTGAATCCCACCATTCATGATACTACATGTCTACCTGAGGCCAAGTCTTGAAATTCTTATTCCTTTTTTACTCAGCCGTTACTTGGGGGAAACAAAACTTCTTACTAATGCCAGTGCATAATTAAGGACTTCAGTATTTGGACCTTGATCCATCAAAGCACTTAAGCATGTGCCTAACTAAAAGTGTGTGAAATGGCTTGAAGCATGTGCATAATTTAAATCACATGTTTAATGGTATGCACTTTAATGAGAGCCAAATGCTCAGTAGAGCTTTGCAACCAGCATGACACTGGTCCTCCTTCATGACATGAATTATATGCCTTATACCAGCTTCCGATCTTTATTACTCTCTTATTCTTTCACCACCAAGTTTTCTCTGCCATTGTTTGGTATGATAATTCCAGAACCAGGTGGTCATGGTAGCCTGGGAACTGGCTTTCTTGGCAAGTTCACAGATCCGTTGCCTACTTTCAGTTTCATTCTTGAGAGTCTAGATCAGGGGTCGGCAACCTTTCAGAAGTGGTGTGCCGAGTCTTCATTTATTCACTCTAATTTAAGGTTTCGTTTGCCAGTCATACATTTTAATGTTTTTAGAAGGTCTCTTTCTATAAGTCTATAATATATAACTAAATTATTGTTGTATGTAAAGTAAATAAGATTTTTAAAATGTTTAAGAAGCTTCATTTAAAATTAAATTAAAATGCAGAGGCCCCTGGACCGGTGGCCAGGACCCGGGCAGTGTGAGTGCCACTGAAAATCAGCTTGCGTGCCGCCTTTGGCACGCATGCCATAGGTTGCCTACCCCGGTCTAGATAATTGCTGAGAGTGTCTCTTTTCTCAGCTTGATACGTGCTGCTGTGGGTGTTTCTTTAAATGTTTACATAATCCCATAGGTTGTGCTCAGCATATGGAGCTGCCTCACCTCTAAGTTTTGCCTTCATATGTTCTTTTGCTGTAGAGGAGTGGTTCTCAACCAGGGGCCCGGGGCCCCCTTGGGGGGCTGCGAGCAGGTTTCAGGGGATCCGCCAAGCAGGGCCAGTGTTAGACTTGCTGGGGCCCAGGGCAGAAAGCCGAAGCCCCACTGCATGGGGCTGAAGTCTGGGGCCCTGAGCCCCATCGCCCAAAGCTGAAGCCAAACGTAGCTTTGTGGGGGCCCCTGTGGCATGGAGCCCCAGGCAATTGCCCTGCTTGCTACCCCCTAATGCCGGCTCTGGCTTTTATATGCAGAAAACCAGTTGTGGTGGCACAGG